GACTCATACTTCATGGCATCACTTCTCATGCACTTAATCATTTTGGCTAGGGGTAGGGTGGGGTTAAAAATGTTTAATTTTGAAAGTTTTTTTCTGTGATGTTCACTTTGAGTTTGTTGTTTTTTTGGGTCTGTTTTGGTGAATTCACTCAGATATAACTAGACATATACATATACATATACATATACACACCTGTTTTGAAATAATGCCATTTGAAAAAAACACATGAAATATATAGACCTTTTGTTTTCTCACCAAAAAGTGTCTCTTTTTCTATGTTTATGAATGAACTATGTTATAAGCCACATGAATATGGTTGTCAACTGCAACATCAGTGACCACATATTTGTATTACTTTTGTGCAGAATTTGTAACAAATATTAGTGAGATCATAAAGTGGAAATGCAACAGCTGCAAGACAGGTAATTTGCACCAATAAATTCAAAACTTTAAAATCCTTTTTTTCACCATGGGGCAACTTAGAAGAAGAGGGAAAATTCTCTAATTGCATCGCAAATTAACTTTCTAATGATTAAATGCTCTATGTAATATACCACAAATATGGTTGTCCATTAAATTATTACTGACTGCATATTTCTCACATTTTGTTACAAAATATGTTGTAAGTTATATGCAGGAAAATAAAAATCTTGGTTTGTTGGGGAATTTTGTATTTGATCAACAAATTGTGCTGTAATTGATGTTTTATTTGATTTCCTTAATCATCTTTTTGATATTGAATTGATATCACTGACTATTACTTTTTTACAGAATTTGCTGCACATGCTGCAGCACAAATGAACACCAAACAACTAGCAGATAGGAACAGAGGTAATGCACCAATAAATTCAAACTTTTAAAATCTCCCTTTCAACCTGGGGCAACTCAGAAAAAAAGGTCTGCAAAGTTTAGCATAATGATTAAAACCTTAGTGAAGATGGAAAGTCATTTATGCCTAAAATATGAACCACAAGTGCTAAAACCCACTGACTACTGCTAGCACAAACAATTATTGTATTATTTTGCTCATAAATTGACTTGTCATTCACATGAACCCAAATCACCTGTGTTGTTGCATCAAACAATTACAAATATTAACTATAACTCACTGGTACAGCAAAACAGAAAAATAGCACTAACTATCAATTGCCTTTTACAAAAATTAACTATTAAATCCAACACTTTGAGTGGGGAATTTGAACAACACTTTGGCCCCAGGAACAAACTAATCTTCAAAACTTCAAATGCCTGAGGAGGTTGCTGTGATAGGGGGATGTTGAAGCTCCAAATTGAGGGATACATGTTTATGTACCATACCCAGCCTATGAAATTTGATCAAATCTTATCAATCCTAACAGAATGAGCATACATTTTAATTCATAGTTCCTTACTTGCACATAACTTAGAACATCCACTTGTTCAGCAGTGACATCATGAACATCCTGAAAACAGTTCTTCCCACAACACACACACACACACAAAAACTCCAACTTATAAGAAAGTTTTTTCCTTTAATCCAATCACAGAACACCAAACATCCAAAAAATCTGCAAGATGTCTGTCAATTGAAATTACCATTGAAAAGAAACTTAACCTAAGTACTAAGACTTGAATGCAATTTTTTTTTGCAGAACATGCTACACAGGCAGCAACGAGGAGAAGAAATGTACAATGGCACTGTAAGAATATAGTTAAAAAATAGCTTGTAAATTACTGCTTAATTCTGCTTACAATAAACAAATAATACTGTTGCAAGACAGTTCAGTTCATTTCAAGTAGGATTTATGTTCTTAACACTTCCCATATCAGCTGTTTGTGAAAACATTTCTATGGAAACATTTTAGATGCCACAGTCGCCTTTCAATTCACTTCTAGATCAATTCGAGAAAATTAAGTAATCAATAATAGTAATGATTCAAAATTTATCGAACATTCACACCCAACTCAATTCCATTGGTAATCTGTTGTGCCAATCACCAGCCATGATGAGTGAATTTTTTTTAATTGATTCCTAGAATTGAAGATTACCAATAAAGCTAAATAATGATAACACTTTTCAAATATTTCCAATAGAAAATACCTTTAACTCCGAGGATCTCATTGGCAACTCTCCTAACTGACTGTCATACAGTTCTTTTGATGTTCAGTTAGATTGGAGAATTTGGTATTGGATCAAGTAATAATCTTCTAATTAATCTTTGTCTTTATTCTCATTAGTTGTCTGCTTGGTATTGCATTTATTTTGTAAGGAGAAATTGTCTTGGTCACTTGTCCTGGGAGTTAAAGGGAACTAACAAAATTTTTTAAAACCTCAAGTGAACTTTTGGTACAGTGAAAAACCCAATTCAACATAGTGTAACACCTTAATTGTGTATTCATTTGATCATTTTTTAAAAGATTTAGTTCACTGACATCACAAATTTAATCTAAAAAGCAGGTTTCCTCTGCAGATCTTGTCAACTATAAGTATTTATTTAACCCTCTCCTTCCTAGCATCAGTATGAATAATCTCCATACTACTTCCTAGACATTTCCCAGGGTTCTGACAAGGAGAATTTGTTCAACAATCAAGAGCTTCTTTAGTTGATGATCATATCCTTTATTCTCATGACCTTAATGTTTGGTTCAAGGGTGATGTTGTGAGGAGAAATTAGATGCTAGTCACTCCTAGTGGTTGAAGGGTTAAGGTGGATCACATCATTTTACAGACAAATTCTCTCTCCTATATTTCACAGAACTCACAACAAAACAGAGTCTTTGTTAATCATATGTTGGAGGTGTGCAAAACAGTAAGTTTCAACTCGTGTAGTTTACAATTAAATTCAATCACAACTACAATTAGACAAGAAAGGCAATTACCATTGATAGTTAAAACACAAAAATTTACATTTACACACTAGAGCAATAATCGTACACCTTTGTGAAGTTTTTATGCCCACTTAAAATGTCATTTATTCTTTCTGATGCAATACTTCTGTTAATGACTTCTTTTCCCACAGCTTGTCACATCAAACCTTGGGAACATGTCAACAACGTCTGATGAAAATGATGCTGAGGACGAATAAACAAGATTTTGCTTCATTACCTTCCTAGTATACTCTTCTACACCATTATGTACTGAGCTTCATATCAAAATGCTGCATTATATGTTAATGGCATAACTTCAAACATTTGCAACCTGATATAGTCTATACATGACCTAAAGAGCTGCACAACACTGATTTAATGATAAGTCATCAATGCATTCAATTTCAGAATCCAATAACAAATTGTGACAGTTATGACAACCCATGTTTTTTTTTTAATAAAATGTTATCTTGTTAATCAATATTACTTCTCAAAACTGGCTGTCACTTCAATGAAATAACATATTAGTCACACAAAAGGCGTCCGAAGCTCATGTGTCGAGAAAAAGCAAAACGATTAATTCATGAAAGCGTCACATACCTTTAAGACTGAGTACGTCTTTCGTGCCCACCGAAGAGCGCGGTAAAATAAGCGTCGAAGAGCTCTCTAATTTAAACAATTTGTGATCTGGATTTCTTTCAGTTGTGAATACGAAAAAGGGAAAAGAAATGCAGACGAAGAAAACGTAGCAGTCATAAAGAATAAGTTATCCAAGTACGTTGTTGTCTTTGAATAGTATACAGAACCGCGTTTTATTTAATTATCTCATTTACCGATTAGTCAAATATTCTCCCCTTCCACGACCACTTTATCGAGAGTCTGCAAGCAAAGAAGACTTCTGTTAACAAGCTTAAAACTGGATCCGAAGGAAAGAAAAGACAGCGCGATTCAACGCCCAGCCGCCGCCTGAGGACTCAGCCACTCAAATCGGTTCTTCTCGTATTTCAAGAAGAAAATGACATTTTCCTCATCGCAGTGGTTTACGTATGAGTAATATGTCGTCTATATCAATGACTACAGCTAAGAAACCTTCACGAGTCGCAGAATCAAGACTTAAAGCGACGATTTTCTAGGAACGGCACTCCCAATAGCAGCAGAAATTCAATATTTAGCAAAGAAAAAAACACCTAGCTCTCTCGAAAATGAACTTTCTAAATCTCAAGCTCTACAGCCAATCGTTACCTCCCTGGCAGAACTCGTTGGTCCTACAGTTCATTTCGATCACAAAGTCATCGCGCCTAATCCGCACTTCGACATTCCCAATCCTTTTAAGTACTTTGAATGTCAAACCTCGTGTAGCCTCTTCAGTTCCATTAAGAGAGTGCGCTCGTCCCAATTTCAACCCGGACATAAACCGATTGGCACCAGCGACCAGTCGCAAGGAGGACGAGCCACCTGTTACAGATACATGTCAAGTGCTTTCCTGACCCAGGAATAAAGCCTCTAACGCAATGCTTCAACTCCATCAGCAGCTCAACAAAATCGTTGAAATGCTTGCTATACAGCGAAAGAAAAGTTCTCTTACCCAACCTCAAGTCTCTCTTTTCAAAGTATGAAGTATAAACCCTTTCAAACATCTTTCGGGTCCCATGTTTCGCGAAAGTCCACGCCTCACGAGTAGTTTAATTTCTAACTTGGTTTTCTCTCTGACTCGTGAAAGCAGCAGTTCATTCGTAAATCCCACTTGAAGTCGCATCCAATGCACTTCAAGTAACCCAGTAACAAATTTACGTGTTATTCGTCAATTTCATCCTTTTTTTTTTTTCTTTGCTTGAATTCTAAACTCTTATGTTGGTAAATTTCTGTTTCAATTTATCCACTTCTATCCGCTGATCATTTGACACTCGCCGTCAGTTAAGGCGCGTGCAAATTTTACTTTGTGCACTTTTGTTTGAAAAGACTACCCAGTCATGTCAATTTTTTCATTCTAAATAGAAATGAACCGGAAAAAAAGAGAAAAATGAGAATATAAATGACATGCTCCGAAATTTCAATTCGCTCTTACTTCAGTTACACGAATCATGATTTTACGTTCCAGTGTTACTAGTGTCCCGCGCAAGCACCAACATACGCTCTCCTATAGGTTTTTGCAATCCATACTTGACTTTCGTTTATGTAACTGCTGTAGAGCACCACATCGTGCACGAATCCCACACGTACATTCTAGTTTAAAAAAGGTGTTATATTTCTTGACTAAAGCTAATAGGTAATCAAGAGTGCATTTGAACTTAGCGGTAGGGTCTTGCAAAATAACGCCCACAAAAC